GAGAAACTTGATTCGGTTGTTTTTTTGTATTGTACTAAAAATGACAATTAAAAGTATTAAGCGGCTATAAGGAAACAATTTGCCTAAAATAATATGATTTGCATTTCACGTAAATTTCATACACAATTTCTATCTTGTCTTTTTATTGCCGTTTTATCATTTGTCATTTTTTAAATTAGAAAGCAAGCGCCATTCATTGAAATATTTTTTCCGAGTGGTCTGTTTTTTCCAGGAGAAAAATGTTCGCACTGGAATGCACTGTCAATCAGGATTAAAGACACCATGTGCGATTAAAACAGTTTTCAATTAAATGTTGTTAGGGATTAAATTTTAATACCTTTAATACTTTTAACAGCCTCATCATTTACTTCTAAAAATATAACTAGTTATCTACTTTATGGTTGAAAGAATGTAATACCACTTAATACCGATAGGGGGCATGTTGTGCTAGCATTATCCGATTCACTGATTTTAAAGCTTTTCCAGTCTCACATTTTATTGTATTTAACATGATTACTGCAGATGAAATACAATAGAAATGGATTGTAGCAATGATCAAAGCTTATGCAAAGTGTCCTGATAGTATTAAATAGTCATAGGAGTTTCTTGTGCTTTTGAGTGACCACTCTGTGTTTTGACTTCGTCAAACGCGAAATGTGATATAGATGAAAATGTATTCTTGTTGGGGTTCTAGGTATGCGTACCTCGGGGTTCATTTTAATCCCAAAGAAATGCAGATGTCATAACATTTCGTTACGTTTAGAAAAGCATATTGTAACAAAAGACATATAAGGAGCCGTGGGTCTAGATTTGTAATAACTTCAGTGTAGATTGTACAGTTAGCAGAAAAGCTAATTCTGCGTATCCTTTTTAAAAAATGGAAGACATTTTATGTCAGGTTTATTCTAAACTGTTGTAGGCTATTTTTTTCTTTCAGTTACAAATCCGGTTAAACAATGAATCATTATTTTAGTCATAGGTCTATGGGGAATATTTTGGAAATATAAAAAATCGAATGATTTCTCTAAAATGTTCTTAAGAGTTATCTTTTATTATTACCAGTGTATCAACCATAGGATGTAAGGGACTCACATAGGATGTGAGCCTCCTCCGAATTCATTTTATTATTATTTTTCAGTGATTCACACTTTAACGTAATCACAATCACAGAACAAATGAGACTTGCTTACTTGGTTACTGGCAAATTTTGTGGGTTCGTAAAGTAACGAACATTTTTTCCTGAATCACAACAAAGGTGCTGTGCTAAGCAAGTCTAACGTTTATTTCCTTCAGTGATCCTGTTACAAGCATCATAAAAAAGTCGAAATCACTACTTAGCCCTGGTCAATAAACACTAACGGTAACAGCATATCATAACAATATTGCTTTTATTACAGACAGTATGGTTTAGTTTTCTTTTTTTAAATGTGCTACCCTTTTGTAGCAAACCTACGTTACAGGATACATAAATATCGTCTTGCAATTACTGTCAATGGAATTAAACTAACACAAATTTTGCAAGTTACATATTAATTATCTATTACAGATTAATTTACAACACCAAACCCAATTTTGTAGCTCTTAAAATTATCATTAGAATAGCAGACCCTGAAAGTGAAGCATCTGCGCCCATCGCCTATCATTTTATTCTGTGGACGTAATTGCCTATCTATGACTCACTTGCAACCGGTGATTCAAACATTTTCAATAAAGATAACAGCCTTTCTCAATTCGTATACCTCGTTGTATTCATAATGCATATCAGGTGAACCGTCAGCCTAACAATGCGACAGTAGCTTCATCCTATGCCCTCCCAAATACACACACCACTGCCGATAAATAAATGAGGAAATACATAGTACTATTGTTAAAATATTATTTGATTGAATAAATAGTAAAAAGGAAAATATGAAGGAGACAATTTCGACATCAAAGTTCATTTGACAGTTAAGAGACAAGACAAACACGTAGCTGCAACTACAGGATAAATATTTTTGAAATACAGACACTGTTTTGGCAGTCGCAGAACATGGTTTATTTCTCCTGCCAAGTCTTGAAGACTTGATTTATTACACAGAAAGCATATTGTTTTATTTCTAGTCAGTTCATGCTTCTCTCTCGATTTTTTATTTTTATTTTACCCAATATGTAATTATTTCCATTTGCAGAAGGAGATGGATTTTTCATTGTACAATAATTCCCATAGATCTGCACGTGGCAAAACACCTAGAACTTTCAACACACGAGTGTTCTTTATGGAAAATAACTTTTTTATTAACTAATACTGCAGATTCTTTTTAAAAAGAAGGAAATGGAAGCTATGCCTAACACATTCTTAATGGGCCCTTTACAATTTTCACAAGCAACCTTTTAGCTGTCATAAATATGTTACACATCTGCGTGTAATACCACAAATAAGCAACCGGCGTGTTTACTGATTGAATTTAAACAAAAATAAAAAATAAATGCATTAATTTCTAGGTTTTATCATTTGAGTGCTTTGCGTTTAATTGGTAACAAGTTTGAAGAAAAATGTAAAATAAGAGTTTCTCCGGCAATCTGAAATCCTGCTTAGGAGATTCTTTTTCCCGATTGCAATAAATTACACTTTATATGCGCTGTGTGTCATCATTTTGTTCCTGCATATGTTATCCGTACAGCTATCACGTCAGGATATGACTCCCTTTACATTGTGTTATTGGCTATGCTTAAAAGAAAATGGCAAAAAATGGTTTTAAAGCTATGCGCGTTTCTTTGCTCGCTGTTTTTGTTAAATAAAATCCGCCAGTCTGCTGGGACAGTGTTATTTGTTTTCCTCTCACATATTTCATGAAAAGTAATGAAAGGCTCTTGCTACGTTTCTAAAATGACTCCTAGTGCGAAAGAAGCGACTTGGGCTACAGGACTTATTGCGAAGGGAAATAAGACTAATACTTAAATCGTTAACCAAATCCAGTCCGAAGTAAGATGAAAATGAAGCAGCAATTTGCACCAATAGTCAGATGTGAGTCATTTGCCTACTGCACTTCTAGTGGCGCTTAAACAGAGCCCATATCCCTTTGTACTAATAGCCCTGTCCTCATTTGCTGCCTAATTGGACTATATAAGACCAATAACATGCGAGAGTTTACAGCCTACAGCCAAAGCGCAAAGTCTAGCTAGGGAGGGTGGACTTCATTGCAAGCCCATTCTCTGTTTCCCATCTCTTCCCTAATCCCATTTGCCATTGTACGTGCGCAATCGCCGTATACTCTCCGCATTTAACTTGGATGACATTTTTATTTCATCATTAGCATCTGGCGCCAGGCTGACGCAGTGAACACTGTCCTGCTTTTCTCGAGGATCTTCACCGAAGCTGGATGCAAGATTAATATTACTTTTTTGTTTTATTGTGTTTAATATTCCTTTTATCATAATCATCCTTAGAACACATAAAGTTTTTTTCTTTACGCTTTGACATTATATAGGCTCAAAGAGAGAACGAAAAACGATCTTCTCTCTGTGTGTCTCTCGCCTTTCTTTACGCGTATTTATGGTCTGAGACACTCGGACCACGAACTCCAAGCAGCGATGCCTGAGACAGCGCAAGAGAACTGCACTCCGGCCAAAGAGTCGCCCTTTTCCATAAAGAACTTGCTAAACTGTGATAACAAACCTTCCAAACCTAAGACTCTTCTCACCCAGACGAAAGCGGCCCTGGAAGGTGGGTTTTCTCTTTCCCAGGTCGGGGACATCAGTTTCCCCAGATTTGAAATACCGACCCAAAGGTTTGCTCTGCCTGCGCACTATTTGGAGCGAGCTCCGGCTTGGTGGTATCCCTACACCCTCAGCTCTTCTGGTCACCTGCACAGAACAGACGGTGAGTTCTCCTCAAGATTTATTTTTCCTGTCGCTTAACCTTCCAACTGTACAACAACGTAACGTTATTTTGTTTCATGATGTCCTCAGCGTGATGCGACCTGTAATATAGCTGAAAGCTGGAGGACGATGTTTTTAAAATAATAATAATAGGTTCGTATGTGTTTGTGGGCTGACCGTTTCATAGAGTAATTGTAAAACCTTACACCTTGTCGCAGCGAGTGTATACAATTCCGGGATCAAGACAAAAAACTTGATAAAACTGGGAAGAAGAGAGATAAACGTTGTCCGTGTGTAGTAGGCTGGTAGTCGCAGCGTTTGTCATTTCTTTTGAACAGTATCAGTTCTTAATAAATTCGGAACATCTGCATTGATCCTAAAAAGTTCTGTGTTCAAAATAATAAAAGTCCAATACTAATATTAGAAGTACAAAGTTTTCTAGTTTAGATCTATTCCATATCCACCGTCTGCGAAAGGACGATGTTTTACTACGTACAGTCTTTAACTTGACTGTCTCCCGCTGTTGGGATATTTAACGCTCATTACGATGTTTCTGCGAAAATCTTTTTCACCCTTGCGGTGGGTGCGCTCAGAGAGATGTTTAGGTTATTCAGTGACTGGTGGTGACAGGGGGTGTTTTGTTTTCATTTTAGTTGCCGAAAAGGCCAATGTGAGAGACTCCTCTCCGGCTTCCGGCACGGATCGGGATTCACCTGATCTCGTCCTTAAATCTGACCCCGATGCTAAAGAAGATGAGGCCAGCAAAAGCGCGGAAGAAATAATACTGGAGGAGAGCGATTCGGAAGAACCAAAGAAGGAGGACACCTTGGATGACTGGAAGAAAAGAGAAGACAGTCCGGACAAGAAACCATGTCGGAAAAAGAAAACGCGCACCGTGTTTTCCAGAAGCCAAGTGTTTCAGCTGGAGTCCACCTTTGATATGAAACGTTACTTGAGCAGTTCGGAAAGGGCCGGCTTGGCGGCTTCCCTGCATCTCACAGAGACTCAGGTTAAGATCTGGTTCCAGAACAGAAGAAATAAGTGGAAACGTCAGCTGGCGGCAGAGCTGGAAGCTGCCAACTTGAGCCACGCTGCCGCACAGCGGATAGTCAGGGTGCCCATTCTGTACCACGAGAACTCTGCCTCCGAGACTGGGAGCCCAGCGGGCAATGTGCCAGCAAGCCAACCTCTCCTCACTTTCCCCCACCCCGTGTACTACTCACACCCCATAGTCACATCAGTGCCCCTGCTTCGACCGGTTTGAGAAGCCCTCTTGTGTGCGTGTTTTTTTTTTAATTACACATGTTGTGTCATCTTAATAATTAATATTATAACTATGATTATAATTATTATTTTTGTAAGAAAAACGAAAAAAAAAACAAGGCTTATAGTTTTTTTTTTAAAGGGGAGCAGCTATATGCATTCATAGTAATGTTTTGTATCGAATTATTTGTGCAATCCACAGTAGACGCCATTTATTACAATTAGACTGGAATTTCGCATATCGTTTGGTGTATGTCCTATAAAAACGTGTAGCGAGCGTGCACTATATTACGGTTCATCGAAGCTAAGGGATGGAGAAAGAAGGAAATTTGCCAAAAACATTTGTTTCAGCAGTTTCTTGTGTCATAGTGTTTTATCCTTTAAAACAATGATCTCTTAATAAGTACCCACCTGTAATCGCTCTTGTGTTTTGATCTTCTACAGTTTTTATTTTGATCTACCAAACAAAAGGCAGAATTATAAAGTTTTGACACAAAGGGAAAAAATACTTTTATCCTACAGGACTTTTTTATTTTTATTTTTGTAAGCTAGTCTGTATAAACGTTCAAATAAAACACGTAAGTTATTAGACTTCGTAAATTACTGTAGGCTACTTGCAGCGTGCTATGATATTTGTTTTTTTCTTTATTTAAAAACGTGGTGACGCGTTTGTTTTGGTAAAAATTGAATTGTGTCACTTTTGTTATTATTACTAATGTTATTTTATACAATTTGTGCAATATTGTACATTTTAAAGCACTGCACGGTAGCGAATGGAGCGTCTCTGTAAAATATGTTGTTCGTGGTTAAATTGGAATACTGAAACAAAACAAATTACAGCACTGACAGATTTTCTGTTTCAGGATACCTTCAGCAAACGTTTAAGCGCTTTAACCGAAGGACAATCAATTTTTTTTATAATTTATATAAACAATGTTCTGATTTATTGTAAACCATCCCCTCTGCTTCATTGACTTTGGGAATTTACTTGAAAAGGATAATGAGCTAAACTGAAAGTTTACAGTTTGAGCTTTTTTAACAGTTGATATGTTGTAAATAGATATAAATATATATAAATTGAAAAGAACCAAGTGTTAACGTCCCTTTGTATAGGAAGAGAACAGACGGTTTTTGATATTGTATTGCTGAATTATGTTGTGAAATAAACTGAATCATTCCTTAATATCGCGTGTGGATCTTTCAGATACAGACGTGTCGGAAGAAAAAAATTAACGTGGTCACGACACACACATAAAAAATTAGAAACCATTAAATTATTGTATGTACTTCCCTGATTTTATCATCATTTAATAACCGAATTTCAAATTTCCAAATTAATCAAACCTAGAACGGAAACATCGAAAAGATAGTACTCAAAAGAAAAATCTTTTTTCGGTTAATTTTAAAATTAGGTCCGCAAATCTCCACCTTATGATCTCTTTTTTAACTCTTCACGGTCAAACCGCCCTGGTGGCCCTTGATGAAAGAAGAAGAAGAAGAAGAAGAAGAAGAAGAAGAAGAAGAAGATGATAGCAACCTTGAAATTCTTAAAAATCATATGAACAATTTTAGTAAATTTATACATCCACAACTTGTTTTCATTAGACCACTTTCGAATTGAGTTGGCAAATTTATATTTTCTTTCTAACCACCTTTCTACTAAATTATTTTGAATTGTTTATTCGTTACTAGTTGATATCCCAATAAATCTTAATAAATAAGTCATGCAGTAGTTTCGTTCTCTTCTAGCGTTCAGAATTTCCATAGCGAACAGAATAAGTTCAATGTAAGCAATTTATAGAATGGAGGCTTAGTAACATTTCTTATTATCCAAACAGATACGACTTGCCCTAACAATACCCACTTGTTTGATTTCTATATATTTTGACGAAATACAAATGGGATTAAAGATTTTTTTTAAATCTTTGACACATAATTTGTGAATTTGTGTCTCATAATAGCTACCAATTAACTCTTCGGTAGTTCATTATTTAATATATGAAAAGTAATTGCTTCGAACATTGTTTACGATTAAAAAAAAAGTTCAGGTACAGTCACGATGTGCGGTTAGCGGTGATGGAGCTGGTCCTTTTCAAAGGGACCGTGGGACTTCGGATTGCGCAATTCGGACCGCACAAAAACACCAGGCTACAACAGTGCTACAACAGTGCGCTGCCAATTCGTGAAATGTTTTGTAAATAGTTATTGGAATTGTTTATTTTATAAGTAGAACAAACTGGATTCTTACAAAAAACGGTCATCTATCCATCTTGGATTTACCACTGTTTGTTTTGGGTATACTAAGGCGATACACGGTCCATTTTACTCATTGGAACAGACGGGTGTTGACCAGTTAATTCTTGCATATTCTGAATTTTGCTGTGTTTGTTTGAAAGGCAATGTGTTTTTGCACTTAAGTGTAGCAGTCTTTACAAAATAACCTGGACTTCTGACTTATGCAGGTTTTAACGTATTATAAGCACAGCTGGCACATTATTTGCGTGACGAATTCAGCGGAAAATTACTTTTTTGTTCGTGGGAATGATACAATTCCCACGGACTAGAACACATAAAGCTATAGATAAAATTCACCTGTTGAAAAGGTTGTTTACTAGCTACGTTAAATCCAAGAAACCAGGATCCCAATTTATATGTAAATTCGATAGTCTTACAGTTTTTGGATTTTTTTTTGTTTAACTCGGATAAGCCTTTCCAAAACCTACAGATGAGGAGAAATATTACAAATTGAACTTCTTCTCAGAGTAGCTTGCCCTGAGCCCACAGTCTTCTTCCTGCGTTTCAGTCTACTCGCAGTAACGGATGGGTCCACTTGCCCTGCGATTGTATAAACAGGAATTAGGATTATAATGAACCTGCTATAATTTTGCAGAACAATGTTTTAATCAACAAGGGCTCAGTCAATTAAAGGGCTAAATCAATATGGTCATGGAAAACTTACATAGGCGGTGCAGTAGCTGTGTGCAACGGGAAAGACGGGGGGGGGGATTGAGGTGTATAATAATGCAGAAGAGGACAGTTGTTTTACTTTTGATGTTTCCCTCTCATTCATTTTGATCTAAATTTAATTTGCAATAGTTTCGCTGTTTATCCATTCGTTTCATTGGGAGTGAGTATGATGACAGCTGTTCTGACCGTGTGTGAATGAAACGCGTTAAGATAATCAAAACAGACAACCCGAGGTGAAATGTTTGAATGTGTTGCAGAATTTCCTTTACTTGATTGACAGTATTTCTGGAGTTTGACGTCTGTGTCGGGGCTCCAGATGTTAAGCTCTGTGACTCAATAGTCACTCTTCACATCTGACCTACTGAGAGAAGACAATTAGACTATAAAAATGAATTATGGTTTTGGAAGATAATTGTGATGACACTTTTTGTTGTATTGGATTATTTTACACAACACGCAAAATGCTTTTTATACTCCGTAAAATCTGCTGTCAAGTTCTGAATACTGTACTTACACGCTCTTAAAATCTCAAGTGTTTTTTCAAATGTATATGTTCTTAAAGATTAAATCTTAATTGTAACTATGTGCCAAAACTGTTAATACGTACACATGGAATGTGAGGTACTGTAGCATCAAATGTTTTATAGACAATAATACGTTATGACCTATTTTAGTGTATATTATTATTATTATTATTATTATTATTATTATTATTAATGCTTCTACTTTCTTTGTTTTCCTGTTAAAGTTAGCTATGAATTTAGGCAATGGAAAGGATATTATGCGTCATACTCGAAGGTTTCCCTTTGGAACGAGAAATGTTCTGAAGGAATCGTTTTGTTTCCAGAGAGTAAAAAAGACATGCAACAAAGATCGGTCCCTCCAAAAATAAATTAAGATGCTGTGCAAGCATTCATCTGAATGAATCAAAACTTATGTTTACAGTATTTGGGAGACCTAGTGAGAAGGTTTGTTTGCAATTAAAAAAAGAAAAAGTTACCAATCTTTGTTGTCCGCCGTGTTCAACGTGACCACACAGGTATCGCTTTGAAGTGTTTGTATTTCAAACACACATGTATTTCTTTTATTTGGTGCTAAAATAGAGGCCCCGTTGTATATCAAACAGACACTAAACACTGGGGAAGAGATAAAAAATCGCGGTGTTCAGAATCACCTCAGTTAGAGGCTTGGCTGCCTGTGTCCGCTGTCTTCTCCATCTACAACCCTGCGGTTAATTTTCTGCAGCTTCTTTTCCAGCCGGAGGAGCGGAGCGGCGACCCAAGAGGTTAGTTATAGTATTCCGTTGGGCAGTGCTGTGATTTGTTTTCGCTAAAACGTGCAAAGGTGCAAAATCTATGATTATATCAATGAAATGAGGGATTGGTATTATTATTACTGTTGTTGTTGTTGTTGTTGTTGTTATTATTATTATTACTGAAAGTTAACTAATCTTATCTAAAATAAGGCCTAAAAAGAAGACAATCGAAACATTAACGTGCTGAAGCGCTAATCTGCGCCCTGCCACACAGAGGACACATCCAAATATTGCCGTGATAATCACTTACTGTATTGACTTATTATAGCATGCAAACTCAACAAGGGCCCATTAAAGAGCATTAATAGATTGGTGTAGCATTATGCTTCAGCCCGTATTGATCGGAAAACGTCTGTAAAATATTGTTTCAAATAAGGGCCATTGTTCACCAACACTTTCTATAGCGTTGATGACCTTGATTTGTTCGCATAAAATTGAAAAAAAAATTATCACTCGATAATTCCTCCCTGTGTGACAACTTTATGCAAAAAAGATGGAAAGAAAAAGGACGAAGCACATTCACATAAATGAAGCAGTGAACGTGACCGGGGGTGCTTTGTATATTAAATTAAAATGGAAAGAAGAGCACCTGATTTTAAACAGATCACATCATAAATTATAATCCCATATATATATATAGTTCAAGTAGTCAACGTAAAACCATTTAATTTTAACTCTCGGGCTGTCACACATGCAATGTTGAAA